GCTCGCCTCAGGTCGTTCAAGCAGATTTTGAGTGATAAATACACAACTAATGATCAATTCAAAACCAAATCAGTAAATTGTAATGAGCGCAACCTAACCAGGGGTACAGTAGTGGAATTTCGATCGAAAGACATGGAATAACAATGAAAAAGCGAAATTTTCAGAACTAGCTGCAATGGACCTCAAAAGCAATTTTACGTTGATTATTTCAATCAAAACACACATATTGTCATCCCTAAGGTTCCTATCTACTTCTACTACTATTTAAATCTTCACATTCATAAAAAGAAAAAGTAAACGAAAAATTTATTGAAATGAAGATTTCGTATGGTTCAGAAATCCTCCTCTAAATTAAAGCATACGTGACCATTCTAAGGGCCACTATGTTTGTAGCTAAACAAGAAACTTTCAAAAGAATCAGGCGTGCGCGAAAAAAATGAGTGTAATGGGTGCGGGGGATATATATCCCGCACGGTCCGACATGGCCTGCAATGCGCGGGATATATATCCCCCGCGTTGTCGTCAATGTGTTAACCATCTCGCCTTGGCTTTGAAGCACCATTGGAGCTTATTAGACCGATGTCAGACTTTGCGAATCGAGCGATTTGCTAGCGAATCGCTGGATCGAGCGTTGCACCAGCGAATCGAACGATGTACCAGCGACTCGACACTGTTTGAAGTGGCGGGACCCAACGTTTAAAGGAAGTCCACTTTCAAGGAGACACTGTTTGAAAGTTGCGGGACTTCCAAGTTGAGTCGCTGGTACATCGTTCGACTCGCTGGTACATCGTTCGACTCGCTGGCGCAAAGTTCGATTCGCTGGTGCAACGTTCGATTCGCTGGCGCAACGCTCGTATCCAGCGATTCGCTCGCAAAGTCTGACATCGGCCTTACCCTCCTGTGAAATTGGGATTACTGTAGCGGCACGAACTTGCACCACAGTGTCCCTACTACAAGGGAAGGATGGTAGGTCGAAGTGGCCGTTTGAAATGAGATGTATACTCTCCTGATGCGTCTCCAGACGCTGATTCCAAATCTGTTTTCCAAATCTGCTGAACGATGCTGTGAACAAAATTACGAAGGGTTTTTCCCTCGCCAAAAGTGTGATGGCCTAACGGTTAAAGAGGCGGATTTGCAGGATCCGACGTCAGGAAATCGGATCCGCTCGCTCAGTTTTTTTGCTTCTTTCATAGCATGGTATGGGGGTAGATTGCTCTTTTTTCGGAAATTTTCCTTTGAATAGTTTGACTTTGGCAATGCGGCACTCTAGCGTACGCAACGCACGAACGAACCGTGTTCTCGCCAAGAGGGTCGTCTCCCCGAAGTCAAACTACTTGTGCCAAATTTGACTCCTACATCGGAAAAGCGGGGGTAACCATGGGTTGTACAGCCCGCCTAGTAGTTGGTGCCTTCGAGATCACCCACGGCTCCAACATTTGTAGGTGAGAAGATTCTGATTGCTGAAACTTCATGTATGGGGACAATGGAAGGCCCCTATCATAATAAATTGGCTTTCTTTTTGGGTTCTGCGGCGCCAGACCTCTTCCTTACACCGACCCCTGTCCAAGGCTACCACGCTCCAGCTTTTTTTCGAAGTAT